GTGAGCACACGGTTTTTCTAGCAATTACTAACGTAAGAGTCTTTTTATTCACGCTTTGAGCCGCCTACAGAGGAACTCAAGAAGCATCAACGGGGCTTTTCTTGGTCTGAACCTGGTGCAGTAAGTAAAGTTCAAGGATGCACTTCAGGAGAATACGGGCAACCAGTTCAAAGCAGTTAAAATAAAAAAAATAACTTGCTGGTTTGTGTGCATTTGATCCTTTGTTGTAGGTGGGCGTTGTCAGAAAAAGTCTCTGAAAAACCAACAGAAACCCCCCGAAGAAAACATTTGTATTCTTCTGTTTAACCGACGGTTTTAAAAATAATTTTGTTCAGTACTTATTTGTAGAAAAGGAAAGTATGCATAAGATAACCTTAAAATCTGGAATATATATTTGAACTTTAAGTAATAACGGTCAAAACCAACCGATGGCAAGGGTGCATCATCGGACTAAAAGGAAGGGTGTGAACAATAAATACCCAGCATTATCTCTTCTGAAATCATCTAGTATTGTTAAGGCGTAAGTAAGTGCACAAACAACCTCTGAATCATCGCCTGATGTCAATTTGGCTTGCTGTATTGGGTTGGAAGGAAGCTGAAAAGGAGGTATAAGAGATAAATTCAGCAGGCAAGTATGTTTTTTAATATTAGAACGAGTTACGATCAGTAAGTTCCTATTTTTCCTCTTTTTACATGCTTTGCATGCATTTCTACCGAAACCGGGAAAAAATTTACGGTTGCCTGATTAAGTCGAGGATACAAAACGAAATTGAAACAATTGAATAGGCATTTTCTGAAGGCAAAATTGTGTCAGTGGTGCAGCTATTAGTTAACATGAATCGATACAGCATACTGCGATGGATACATGAAACGATTTAAGACTTGATTGCTATCCTAAATTCTGTTTTTTATATATTCCGCAGAGGAAGCTACCATATCATGAGTTGGCTTTTGAGGGAAATACAGCCTTGTAGTAAAGTTAGACAGAAATAAAGAAATAAAACAGAGATCGCAGCGGTCAGAATAGCTACAGAGCAACCTCACGAAATTCTGCGGCCTCAAAAGTATTCAAAAATTTAGGCCCGCATTCACTTAAACGATGATCGTTGCCAACGCACAGTTTTATAGCCATATGATAGAGGTGTAAGCTGATCACGAAAGGCGGTATCCTTCTTTGATGCATAAGTTTTAAGGATCGAAATGGTTTCAAGCCACTCAGGCATGCCGCCACATATAGCTAACTCTTATGAGAAGAAAGGTCTTGTCCTACTACGCTAGCCGGTAGGTAATTCACAGCATGGCAAAGTACTCCTCCATCCAACTAGAAGTCCTCGAAAGACATTACAGTCGAGCCTTTCGACACAAATGCTGACAGCCGAGCACTTGCCTCCGGCTCAAGTTAAAGAATAGCAAGCTGCGGACTCATTAGTGTTCAGATTGCTCGCATAGCTGGTTAGCTAGTTATCAACCTGAATAGGACCAATGCCAATCTTTTTTTCTTCTGGACTTAACAGGTAGGGATAACTTGTTTATGTTCATGGACTGCTGTGATCATTAAGATCTAGAAATCCAAGTAACATCTGTAGTTATGCGATTTACGCACACAATACTTGCAAAGTACCATCAACGAGTAATTACTTGACCAAGCCTACTTGGCTCATGAACCTCAACACCAAATGCCGATGCCTTTGAGACAGCCTGTGGGTGAATGAGCATTCCAATTAAGATGAATTTGGCCATCGTTATTTTTTGGAAGTTACTTTTGGATACTACCGCTTGGAGTTCGCAAATGTGCGTTGATCAGAAACATGGAATTCCATTTCGACAATACAGTTCTTGCGCTAATTGAACACTGCTTTTTAATGCAAGTACTGGAAACTTACGCAACAATCTTGTGAAGAATATTAAAGCGTCACTCGCTGATCTGTTGGAAGGCTTTGCTGAGGTAGTTGCTGCAGCATGAGAGCAGTTAAATGCATGGCTCTTCATATAGCAGCAAACGGATTGACAACGAATGTTTTAACGACATATGAGAGTAGCGTTCGACAATCTCTCCTAATTATAGAATGCTAATGGAAATTTGTGTTTTGACTTCAAACTGTGACAGTGACAAGTGACCAGTGAAAAATATCTGTTAGATTTACTTGCCGCCACGTTTGATCATTCAGACTTCAGTACAACGAACTATTACTGTCTTAAATACTCCGCCATTTTTGGAGAAGTCGATTATTTACCTTGTCTTCCATATGTATAGTCCTGCTTGCAGGCCTGACGTCAGCCGAAAATGTTTTGTTCTAAAACAAATACAACGAAACCATATGAAAATAGTTCATTCTAATGAACCTTTAATTAAATTGGAAGTGCTGCTTCGATGAAAAAAGACGAACTAAAAATGCCAGATATAGAGGAAACCCGACTGATTTTGGGCCAATATTATTTGTTTGACAGATTCAAACCTGATTTAAGACCATTATCAGACGGCCTGAAACACCCATAGAAAAATATGGCTTTTATAAAGTGTCATCGATCTGCCGCGTCCAGATAGTTGGTCACTGAATACTTCTCATATGTGATGATAATTAGTTTGAGAAGACTTTGGCAACAACACAGACGGATAGCATTGGGATGATTCGTTGAGCCAAGAGGGACGAGCAACATTAAGAGCTGGTTTCAGCTACTTGCGTGAGGACTAGTATCATTAAAAGCGGTCTCCTGGCATACATCAGTCACCTTTCTGTGAACATGGGGACGAATTTGTTCTATTTGACAATTTCACGGCACAGTAGGGTCAGTCTTCTTTTGTCTTCTACGTTGAGCTCCGAACCCAGCTCTGGCAAATGCATTCCAACCTACAGTAGGTTACCTAACTCATGAAATCCAAGGATTTTTAAAAGTAGCTCCCTATTACTCAAAGGCAGTCCAAGCTGAGGTCACCAAAGTCTTACAGCAATAAAGTGATTGTCGTTCTTCATAATAGGGTATATTGTGTTTTATGAATGAAGATAACATTTTATAGAAATACCAGCTTTTTTAGCAAAGTGGAAAATTCCGGAAAAGTGTATTTTCGGCGTTTTAGGTAAACTTAAGTTTTACATGTAAAGGAAGCCTGTTCATTTAAAACCACCTAGTGAACAAAGCAGCACAATTTAAACTTGGAAAATAATCCTTTTAAGCAATTTCCGCATAAATATGCTTCGAAATTAAGTGCAATTAAATCTTTCGCTTGATTTGGCCCATTGGGAAATCACAGGGGTAATATATTTTTTAAGCTCAAGTGCGGGCATGCCGGTCAGTAAGCAATAAATTTAAATGGAATTGTCAGGTGCAATTGTAAACGTACTATTTCTTGCACACTAAGAGGATTGTCTTCCGCCACATTCTTTTGTAATTATTTTGGGATTTCGATTACGAACAGGTTCACATCTTCCTTAAAAAGCTAATTAAGACTTCACGATTTTCACTGGCTTCAGTCAATTGACCATAAACGATGATTATTTTCTACGTGCTTACTTAAACCTTCAAAATAAGATATACTTTAAAAGCACTGACCTAAATAACGAGCTTTTAGAAGTTTTTTTTTATATGCAGCTGTCTGTCTGTATCATGGTTTTAGAACAACCCAAACACGTCGACTCAATGTCGAGAAAAATGAACGTCCACAACAATAGTCACGAATAAATATGCCAAGGATGGATTACAAAATTTTCTACAACAGGTTACCTGTTGAAAAGGAGCTAAGTTATATTTTTGGCGTCGCATATCTGCGAACTTTATTTATTTTTAAGATTAAGTCAAGATCGGAATAGAGAAGTTTGACCAGTTTTTTGATTTCCCTATAAAATACAGATACATTTTATCTTGTAATTGAAAGAGCTAACTTTTCTATTTAAAGCGGAGCAGTCTTTAGTATATTTGGTTGCCTCTAGGCTCAGTTCTGCATTTACAAATGCAGAGCAGAGTTGCAATTATATCAATGGCGATTTTGCGAAAAATATTTTGCAATGTCCATGACAACTCACTTAGATTCGTGTTATGTTAACTGCCTTCAACTGTATATTGACTGTACAATCGATTTGGTTACTTTATACTTATGAAGTCCTCATACGCATTCGTTGCCTGCAACCCTTCAAATATGCAATATACATTTAAGATGAGGAATAACATGTAACAGCCTCATAAGTTTATTACCTAATTTTATGGCACAAAGCTTGGCAGATGTGCAAAATATAATTTTTTAAACTTATTTTGCTCTTCTTTTCCCCAAAATAATGCGCTATCTCATAATTGCACTAACCTGAATTTCATAAAGGCAAAACAAAATTGTCGATTCTCTGAACATATGTAATTAAAAGGTTTACACTTCTTATTAATGTTCTTTTACGGTATGACACGTTTTTTCAGCGTCTTTTAATAGCGTAGGAAATTCCTTGGATATTAAAAAAACCTTTGAATTGGTCCTCATTCCGCCTCTTTTGCCCCAAGTATACTGATGTGAAACGAACTCTTATCTAGTAAAGAGCATTTGGCACCTCAAGTCAACTCACTGAACAAAATAAACCCACCCACTCAAATTTTACTTTTTACATTTCATCAGATATGCAATCTACTGTACGTAAACTGTTCACGTGCGACAATATTGGGTCCATTGCCTGATCTTGTATGGAACTGTAATAATTAATTTGTGATTGAATGCTCCCATAAAGTTGAAAAAAAATTATGGAATTATTATCTCCAAAAACGGGCTAAATTCATGAGATTTTGTTTAAGCAAATGTCCATTAGGTCGCTCTGCATAAGCTTCTATGCGGACCAGGAGTCAGAAGAGTTCTTCAATGCGTGCGCCGTTCAAAAAACGACGGGCACCCGTACTCATGATATAATTAAGGCTAACTGTGCTGATTCAACGTAAATTCGGGATAATCATTGTATAGGCATATGCCACGCATTCGGTATTGGATTATACAGTACCCTTGCCAGTTTCATATTAAAAATGAAAGCTAATTAGGAGACGGATGCCATGGCGACCTTCTCTGAGGGCTTAGAACTCGATGTCACAAAAAAATTCCCATGTGGGAAAATGACGCACAGAATATCTGAACGCTAAGACTCTTTGAAACAGAGAATCTAAATAAAAACATACCTCAACTGCTCGAGCTATTGCACGCTCCATGTTAGTATATTCCGTTGCCTGTGGGGTCTTTTTAAAAAGTAATGGAACATACTCATTTGGTAGATCGAATGTTTAGGTCCGGCTGGGAAAGCATTCAGAATATATTAACAATTACTCACCGCATAGCCCTTATCCTCATCGTTCTCAGCGGCGAAGTTAAAGTAAGGAGCATCCTCCTGGAAGATAGTTCATGTGGAGAGGGCCAATAAAAGTTATCATGTGCATTGTGTAACCAGCAGATATAAGCTTAAGTTGGCTGCAGAGCAGACTCAGAGTAAAATTTACAAAGAGGACACCTACCATGCCGTTGAGATTGTCAGTTGCAAGAATCAATATGAAGGTAAAATAAAATATTTATCCCGTTAATCTGAGCCGAATTATATTGTTGAACGCCAGCCGGAGATATAAGAAATCAGCAAAGCGTTCCAGTGAGCGGGTGATCAAACCGAAACCCAACTTAAAGAAGAACTGGTCTCGTTCAAATTCTGCTTACAACCGTCTCATGAGACGGGTTTATTCATAACTTTAATGGCGTTTTTATGAAACAGACATGAGCTGCATTCGTCTTACTCCCCCTCCCACACCCATCACGTTCCAATAAGAAGACAGAGTCCCGACGGCTGCAGGTAGGTGTAGTAGCACTGATTAACAAGCCTATTCTAAGTCTTCCTGTCCCACGTGTGATGCGGCTGCGATCCTTACATGTTACAGGCCTCCGTGAAGGGTCCTCCTGGCTCGAACAAGCCATAATGCCACAAATGTCACATTAAAAATGATTCTGTGTATCTCGATTCTCAGTTTTTAGTAGGTGGATTTTTGATTGACGATTTGTGATACTTAGTTGGACTTTTAAAGCGCCTATATTTGGTAACAAGGCGTAAATTGGATGCTATATCCGAACAGTGAAGACAAGGCCACTTAGTTACTACTCCTGTCACGCTGAATTGTCCAAGTCAGGCTGACACGTGATGACACTGGATACACTTTCCAACCGGAGACTGGTTCAGAACTAGCCCACCCCTCACAGACAGATGTTATTAACCAGTATGATCTCCATTTCCGTATAGTGAATCATTAGGGGCCTGTTGGTCAAATGAATGTCGTATGAGACAGGTGTGCGTAGGCGTATAGGCGTTCGAATCATCGCTATACTTTCGGCAGGGAACATGTTTTTTGTCTATTTTTGCCATATAAGTGTATGCCTGTAGTGGTGTCTACGACATTTGGTGTAAAGGACTTCTCTCTAATGTGCAAAAAATTACTCACTTTGGAGGTACTTGAAATGCGGTTGTGCCCTAACACTACAAAATCTACCCATTTGTCTGCGTTTTCCGTTTGACGTCCTTACCATCCGTGTGAGTAGCGCATTAGTGCATTTTACCGATGGCAAATGTCGTGAGGATCGCCAACAATACGACGCTTTTCGTTTTCTCCAGCAATTCACTAATCCAGTGCAGTTGATATCTGTCCTGCGGTGAGCAGCATGTCCTAGCAAACTAGCTTCAGCTTTTGTAGGCCAAGTAAAGTTTAAAACCCAAGTTACTGCTCGCAACTTTAGAACATTTTCATAAATGCTATAAAAAATTGAATGTTTTGAGGGGGTTCTCGGGAAGGCCCTACAAGAAAGAGACGGTATTGGGCTTGCACCCGGACGCCGGTTGACTAACCTCGACTATGCCGATAATATCGCTTTGCTAGCATCAAGCTTTGGCGATCTCCAGTCTTTGGTGTCACGGATGAACGAGGTCGCGAACTTGGTCGGTTTGTCCATAAAGGCTGGGAAGACCAAACTGTTTTCATGCTGCATCCCTGCCCAAGAGAAGGCACCTCTCGAGATAAGTGGCTGTCAACTTTAAGAAATCGACAATTTCAAACATTTCGGAGCGAGGTTGCTACCGAATGGACAGAGTAAGGATGACATTGTCTCCCGAAATGACGCAGTATGGCGAGTGTTCTGCAGCCTTCGGAAGTGCTTATGGACCCGACGCGATATTTATATCTCAACAAATATCCGCGTGTACCGGGCATCTGTGCGGTCCGTTTTCCTATACGATGCGAATGTGGGGCTATGCGCATGGACGATGAACAGAAACTGGAATTCTTTGATCACTACTGTCTGAGGAGCATCATTCGAGTGAAGTACACCGACTTCGTCTCAAATGAGACAGTCCGCACTCGCTGTAACAAAATCATGAGGATATCTCAGGCCGTATAGGGAAGACGGCTGAGGTGGTTTGGACACGTTCTCCGTCGCCAACCTCAGGAGCTCAGTGCTAGTGCCCTCGACTTGAAACCATTGCCTAATTGGAAACATGGAAAAGGGGTCGACTTAAAACCTGGCTCGACTCAGTCCGTCAGGACATAGAAATGGTTCTTGGACCTTCGGTATTCGGTCTCCGGCGCTGGCAAAGAGAATGGGTCGACTGTCTAATTCTGCGGCCACGGATCGTCGCGCGTGGAGAGGCATCATACGGGACATAATTGAGGCCGACTAGGTCAATCATGATCGCAACCATAACAAGTACAAGTAAGTAAGTACATGTACAAGCGATTCATCCGTCTACAAAGATTCAGTAACAGAATTGAGCAGTGCCCTTTGTTTAAATATTATGTGAAGGTTGCAGGTTAAGAAACAACTTTCTTACTGACCCCGAATATAATATTATGCAATATCACTAAGACTAGTAATCAGGAAAAAATCACTTTTCAAACATAGGCTTTTGGTAATTAACCACCAGGTCACTACTATCACATGGAACTTGAACGTCTTAGTTCTGGACAGAGCTTATGTGAAACGAGGCATATGTGGTCAGTGGGACAAATGTGTACTTGTCCGATGTTTCTAAATCCGTTGCGGACCCATCATCAGACACAATGGCAGAAACGGTGTATATATGTCTCCCAGGGAAAGAATTAACCACGCTCGTCGTTTACACGCTGTCCACTGCACGGAGTTAGCGTGTTGAGGAGGTCGAAGCTGGAAGAGTGGGAAAAGTAGAAAAGCGGGAGGGGCAGCAATAGGTAGGGTGTGAGTACTGCGTACCAGAAGCGTGAACAGCGATGTGAGCTCACCAGCTAGAATCGGCCAGGGAAGACCAACTGCCTGTATCAAAGCCCTCTGAAAACAGAGCACTGACTTCATTAGTCGAATAGTCACTGTCTCGGATGTTGCTAGCATGCGTTTGCCCAGGCCTTTACACTAGGGTGTTCGTGCCCGTCGGATAGGCTGAAAGTCTTTTTGGCATCACTTTGGTGGTTTATATCGATTACCTGGGTGACAATGTCATTGAAGGCGATCGATTATTCCCTTTACTTACCCAGCCAGGTGTGCAGTCGTTTACCTACTTTTCTAGGTGTTTCGTTGCATGGCCAACGCCAGCGCCCTCAACAACCTGACTCTGTCATGTTGGCAGCGTGGAAACGATGAGTATGACTAAACCTTCTGCTTAGAGAGACATATATAAGCCGAGTCATTAGCCCAGCAGTTCAATCTTCCTGTAGGTATAGTAGCGTAACGACGAATTACCAAAAAAAATTTCATAAACCGATTTTTAAATCATAAAATGGGAATTTTCGCGGAAATTAACTAAAGAATGCCAAAAGCATCAGCGAGGACAAACAGCCGCAAATTTTGCCCCCCTTAGCTTCTACAGTAGTTTCTGTCCTCGAAATCCTCAGCAAATCAGAAAATCCCGGAACGCACGCAAAAGTTCAGAAAACAAACAAAAATTGAAAGCGTCCTGAGGAGAGATTTTGTTTCTAAATAGAGGAATGGGCGGGAAGGGTACCTTTATTTCCTTTAGGCATTCGTCAGTACTGACGTATTCATCTTCCAAAGCATGGACTGCGTCTATGCGTATACTTTCATTCGGTTGCAAGCATTTGACCATCAGTGGAAAGCCCAGTCGGAAGCCTGAGTATGTGCTCTTTTCTCCACTGAATTTTGTAAGTTGATCAAGCAGATGACTGTTAGCGTATTCTTCTTTTGTGAGTTCGACTGCTTCCCCAGCCCTAGAGTCTGTAGGGTAGAGTCGTTGCATGGTGCTGTTGCTGGATAGCTCAGGCCAGTAATCGGGAGGGGGACGACCTGCCAAAAAGTTAAATAGCTAAGAAATGTATCAAGAGAGGCTTATGAATCTAAAGGTGAGGAGCTTTAGTTGTTGGTCGAGGTTTTTTACTAAATAGTTGTCTGCGAATAAACAAAAACGCATAAACCTACCGAGTTTATGTGAATGACTTTAACTGAGTTTCGCTTAAACTGCTGAAAGTGCAGAGGTGCGCAAGTGCAACAAGGAGGTTTCACACTAACAATTATAATCACAAATCAAGGGACAAACGTCAACTATTTTTGGTTCAGATGATGTATAACGAACAAAATTTTGGCCCGTGAAATTTTAGTTATTGGTCGGCAGGAACTGACTGTTGTGCGCAAAGTATCTCCTTTAAAATTGTCGAAGGACATTTAAAGCAATGTTGGTTCTTGGACCATCGTTTGAAAAAAAAGAACCTACATGATTTCCTAAAGAGAGGGCTGAATGTTAAATACAATAGAACGTAGGTTAATGAGCTCAATCCGTTGCAGCACCGAGCTTGTCATGTGAAACGCTGCTATTGCGAAACATAGCCAATCACGCTGCATCAGTTCACTGATTGGCTGCAGGCGACCGAGGACCTACGTGCTGGGAGCAAGACTCAACAGTGGGCACAGGCACACACACGCACATTTAGAGTTCGTTAACTGAACGGGGACTCGCCAATCGAAAAAAAGTACTGCGAAAGTCTCGCTCGTTACCTGAAATGATCGTAAATGGAACTACGTGCCCTTGGAGACTCAACTTTACTCTAAGAGATGGACACTGTCCACCGGTAAACGAAGGATACTTTATCAAAACCTTACCGATTAGCAGGAAAATAAGACAATCTGCCCTACAATTACTGTTGTAGAAATCTTACCCCTTTAG